TTCCCCATTATGTGCTTGCAGTGTGGAGATGACCTTGCTTCCTCTGCTGCCTCTTCACAGCCTTCCTTTTCTTGCTGGCAGTCTTGGTCACACGACATAAATACCAACCAGCACTGTGTAAATACTCTGCCTGCTAGTGAGAAATGAGAGCATCTAGTACTGCAGCACATCAGCCCCACAGCCCCCAGACAGCCCAGGATTTACTCTTTTTACTTTAACTGAAGTCAAGAATACCGGAGTGTGTGCTTCTGATTAAACACGTGCTTAAGAGCTGTGATTCACCACTGCTTAAACTAGTGTAATCAACTGGCCAAAACATAGGCTTGAATTCAGGTAGCCAAAAAGTCTAATAATGGAGGAAAGGAGACATAAAGTTAACAGTCAGGATCATTGCAAATTAATTTTAAAGACACATGGTTTCTTTTCATAAAACACATCTGCATATTGCTTTTATAGCAAGGATTTGGAAACAAAAACTATGCATAAAAGAAGCAGATGTTTTATCCTGGTGATGTTTCCTATTTGGAGAGAATGAGATTCTTTCCATATCACATGAAACATTTCAGGGCTGCTGTTCACTTTACGCATAAAGCACCTCCTTGCAATGGTTCCTGAGATAACCACCATGCCCAGACAGAATATGTTTTTCCCACCTCATGACACAGGGAAACCAAACGCGGTTACAATCTGTTTAGATTTTGAGAAATCCAGGAGACTCAGGCTGAACAGTCATGAAGCTTGTTTTCAGAGATGCCAGTAGTTATATACAAGTAATTTTTTGATGCTGGTTAAGTAGTTTCTAGATAGAAGTTTGTCTGCAAGAGAAGTAGCTGGAGTGAAGAAGAAAGTTTATTTTCCAAAAATAAAAGCTAGATTTTTTCCAGGATTTACTCTAGTCTTCCCACATCCAGCTAACATGTGTTCCAATAGTGTCATTTAATATTTGCTTTCATCTGAATGTCTTTGCAGCTTACAAAATTGTTAAATGTTTTAAGCATAAAAGCCTTTCTCCAAACTGTGTGCCTGGAAGCGTTCCTACTTCTGTCTAGTTTAATAAAAGCTGTTACCTCTTGTTACTGATCTTTCTTTCCCATACCTTTAGGCCATCACACTACAAAAACATTACTGCAAATTGCACAGCTAAAGAGACCTTACATGTGTTTTCAACTGCAAGTTGTACACAGAAAAAACTTGTATTTCAGAGAAGGATTTTTCTTGTGAAAAACAGATCCTAAATGTTAGCATCAGGTCTGATTGGCCAGATCTACTACAACCCATTGGCTGAATTTTATTCTACATCTTCCAAAGAATAATTTGAATATCCATGTAATAGTGGATTTATGAGCCCTGTACCTTGGCTCCACTGCAGTGCATTGCCACTCAAATGGCTGTATGGCATATATAGCATATATAGCATAATAGCAGTTCAGGTCAGAAGTACATCTCTGAAGCAAATTTTCTAGTCATTTCCCCTTGCAATGCCTTGATCCTCATCACAGGGCAGGCTTGGAGTGCATCAACATCATTCCTGTTGGAGGACAACATCAATCCTTTCATGTGCCATCACACCAGGAGTTTTTTTTTCCAGCAGACAATGGGCAGCCAGTCCGCAGGGCCAAGCTGCTGTCAAAGGAAAGCCCTCAAAAAGCTCCAGTGGTGGGCACAGCCCGCTCAGCACCCGTTGTTTTGCTCTAAAGCCCTGCCTGGGGCAGGGTAGCACTGGCTGCTGCAGGACCCCAGCACAGGGCAGGGCCCCACTGCGCAGGGGGCTGCGGGCTGCCAAAACCTCCCCAGCTTCCCCCCTGCCTCCTGCCAGGCTGTGCCATGGGGGGTGGCCAGCACCACGGAAGGGAAGCGGTATCCAGCTTGCAAGCTCTTGCAGGTGCCCTTGTCATCTGTGGGACCTTTAACTTGGCAGCTGCCCACAAGAGGGATTTTGCAGACCACAAAGCTAGGTGAGCTTTTGTTGCTTTTGCATGTTTGCCTGATGTTTGACAAGAGCTGTTCTTCCTGCTGCTGGATCTTGTTACAATCTTGAGCTCAGCTCCCTGCAGCATTAGTCACACCAGTTGTCCTCCCGGAGGCACACACTGTGGGAGCTGTGTTGCAAGAGCGATGGGCTGAGCCTTTCAATAGCCACAGGTTTAAATACTTAACTCTTTATTTAACACTGTTTTTTTATTTCCTCCTGAGAAAGAAATACATTCTTTAACCTAGAAAAAGATGATGATTCTTGAGCAGTAGAAGTGAGCTGCCACACCAGCCGGGAAGCCAGGCATAACTGCATGACCCTTCTGTGGAGGTCCCAGATAGGAGAGGTGACCAGGAAAAACACTGTGTTTTTGCCAGGAAATCACCCGCTTGGTGGGGAGGCATTCCTCACCTCTCCAGGACACCAAAGGGAGTGGAGATAGTCTTGCCAGGAGCTCAGTGCCACTCATAGTAGGGATGAGACCCAGCAAGGCACATTTTATTCCCCAGACTTTTTGTACTTACACATAATGTCCTATGCTCATTATGTCCTTGGTGACGTCTTCAAATTTCAAATCTCACTGTAGGATGGGATGTGCTTTCAGCATGAGTGCCAGTGGGAAAACTTACTTATTGGCAGAAGGGAGTTTATAAACATGTTACAACATTCTTCTTAATCTGATTTATGCTGAGATATCCCAGACACTTAAGGGCAGAAGTTAACTAGGATGCATACATATATTTCCTCTGCCACTAGTGTCCGTATTTCACAGGGGCATGAATAAATAGACATTCCTAGGTAAGAAGTGGAAAATTCTTTCCTCTATCTGAAGTGCTCTTTTTATGCCATGCTCCCCGCCTTCCTTATCATTTGATAGTGGTGTTAGCATTATTGTAGTGCTTGTGATTTAAACAGAAGAGAAAACCGAATTTTTAATTTTGCATTTCTTCTCTCCACTAATCCTTCAAAATACTGCTCTGGGTTAAGAGACAAAGTTAGTGAGATTTACAGACTATCTTACTGGTACAACGGCAAGAAACTGATTTAGGTTAGCTTAGGTTAGGTTAGATTTGGTTAGGTTAGGTTAGGCTAGGCTAGGCAAGGGGCAGGGCAAATGGAGTGGAGATATTTGGGGTTAGAAACTCCTTTCTCGGGAAGTGCACGGTTGTTCCTGCTTAGTGCTACATACAGTGACGTTGTGGGGTGGGGGAACAGGAAAGAGGAGGGGTGATCTCCAGACAAACAGCTGTTGCAGCTGTAGAGAGAAAAAAGGAGAAAGATCAGGAGGAGCAGCAGCAGCAATCTGACTCCTGCAACAGGTAATATCTCTTGAGTGCAGGTGACCTAGGCTGCTCAAATGCAAAAAGGAAGGGGGAAAAAAAATTGGGTGGGATGTGCCGGTGAGAGAAAAGTACATCTTTTGTACTGGCTCTCAGCAGCTTTCTTCTTCCTGAGCTATAGTGCTTGCAGCTTGTCACAGGGGTGGGAGGGGGAAGGGGTGGAAGTTCAGACCGCTATCACTTAAAAGGAAACCGTGTCAGCAGAGGGGCTTTTCTAGCAGACCTTTCCTGCAGAGAAAAAAAAAAAAAGGAACATCTCTCTTTGGTTTCAGAGCGAGGGTTGCTTCCTCATGTGCAGCCAGCCAGTATGGGCGCACAGAAGGCAGCAGAGTGCAATAGCTCTGAAGGCAAGGAAGTGCTCAGTTCACGCAGGCCTGTGTGGGACCCCCCTGAGAGGGACCTGACTCTGGCCTTCATCCTGGCACCTTGCAAGGGACACCCAGTCGGGCCAAGGGCTGCCCCGAACTGGGTGCCGCTGCTGTGCTACCTGTCACCTTCCCTAAGGGGGACGTGGTCCTGACCACCCTTCAGACACCGAGGGCACCTGCCTCTGTACTTACCTCAGATGACAGCTACCACAGAGACACACTGAAGACCTTCATGCTAACAATAATAATATGCAATAATTATGTGATTTTTCTGCCTGTGGAAATAAGTGAGGCTTTGCAAGCTAAAAATATATCACTGGTAAAATCTTTGCTGGTGAATAAAAGGGAAAAGGGTATGTTTGGGACCATGGTGCTGTGTGTGCTAGTTCTGAGTCGTCTTATGTTTCATCTAGTTTCCTAGATTTTCAGCCCAGAGAGAAAGCAGATAAAGTTTTCCACTTTACCACAACCATCAACCACAGCAAGGCTGATCCTAAATATGATAAATGCATCCCTAGCATTTCAATGTATTCGGTATAAAATCAGCCACAGTAAGTAATGTGGAACTGACAACTAAAACAACAGACAGCAAGCCCAGCCTTCTGGGTCTCTCTACTGCAACACCCATGCCTGTTTCTTTCTCCTGTCATCAATGCAGGCAGAGTACTGAAACGTGTAGTGCTCCCCCGATGCCCTCAAATGAAAGCGACTTGAAAGTGTTAAAGCCCATCATGCTACAAGGAATAAATGCCACAGCATTACAACCCAGGCACCAGGGAGGCTAAGTGAGGTTTGTAAGGTCAGCCAGCAAGTCTGGGGCAGGGTCAGGAACTGAACAGCTACCTGGTGGATTGCTAGTCAGTGTTTTGTCTGCAAGGGCACCGCAGAAGCAGGCTCTGTGAGGTGAATGTGGAATGATGCCTGCTGTGAACCAAGGAGAGCAAGAAATCTAATTAAAGCCTGTCTCTTCTGCCAGTGACCTTTCAAATAGAAGCAGATGGCTGAATTTTGTGTTGTGACACAAAACTCTTAGGACAGTGAAATAGGCTATCCTCAGTCTGCTTCTGGTTCTCTAGGTAAAGAGGTCAGCCTTTGGATGAGAAAGACCTTAGAGAACTGTTACATTTCAGCTTCCTTTGATTACACTGAAATCACCTTTTATTCTGTCAAAGGCTTCTGTCTGGTCTCACGTACCTTTTGTGTGGGGATTAACACAGTAGGATGAAACCCCATTTTGAGATCAGGGCTGTTCCTTCCCACAGTGAAGAACATCGACAAGTGAGGGAGCTGTGCTGCTTGCAGCTCTGGGATAGGGATCGGTCCTCCTGGTAACACCACGCATGCTGCCCGCCAGCACATGTCTACACTTCACTGGGAATATGGGGCCCTCCATAAATGCCAACAGTGCGTATACATTTCAGTAGTTGCAAGTACATTTTAAATATGATGAGTTCTAGCACACCGCAGCTGCCATATTGCCAAAACACTAGCGTGAAGCTGTGTTTACAACTGTCCTTTTGGTTACACCCTGTTTAGGCAAGATTAAGCAGCTTAAGAATTGTAAAGACAACAATTTTCTAGCCAGCCAATGGAGGAAAAGTTTGGAAAATAAACACAAATCACTGAAAGACAAGTTCTGAGAATGAGAGACAGATGTAGCAAACTAAACCTCTAAAGAAGAAAGAAACCATATGCTCATCTTGCACCCTGTGCAAAGCCCATGTGGTAATATCAGACCAGAGACTGGTGGAGGTGCTGACTGAAAAGCCTCAAGATCTTTATAACTGTTCCTGTAACTTGCATACTCATTACAGTGATTCCTATTCATCCAGTAATAAGGCTGTTTCTTAAATCAGAACAGGGTTCTTAATTTTTTGCCTTTTTGTAATGTACAGTGTCCCATCTTTTTTTCTTACCACAAGAGAGAACAAAGAACAATAAAGCAGATGAGATTTTAGGTCAATATTTATAGAGCTCAGTGGACTTCAGTGCAATTCAGTTGTATCATACTTTTCCCAAGAGGAGTGTTTATGGAATGCATTCCTTTGTCTGGGTCCTCATATGTCTTATTTTCATAGTATCAAAGGGCATGATGTCTCTTGGGAGGTAAATTATGCCAACAAATCTTTCTGTGCTTGTAGAAATGATGATATGAATAGTGACTATCCTGCATAACAGGGAGAGAGGAAGAAAGGCATTTTTTATGACCTCCCTAGGATATACGTAGATTAAAAATTTAGAAGATCAGTTTATCCAGAGCAATTTACTAACATGTGTATTATTATTTATGGTCTTGGCCCAATGCTGGGAATGAATTATATGCATTTATCATATTTAGGTATTTCTAAACACAGAAATTGACTGTGTTTGTTCATGAACAGATACAAATGAAATAAAGTTTGATGGCAGAGACATACCACATGAACACACTGGATCAAGGGGTAACTTAAAGAGCTCTTACTACTTATTGGTTCAGGAAGTTAATTGGTCAAACACAGGAGATAAATTCTAGTACAAAATTCACAGATTAATTTCCCCAAAAGGTGGACAGTCCTTTTCATAGCTGGAGGACAAACAAGCCTCTTTCTCCTGAATAAGTCAGAAGAAAATTTATTTATGGGAAAGAGAAATTAAGTATCTCCAGAGCCTATGAAGTTTTGCAAAAGTCAGATTACCTATGAAAATTAGGTTAGAATAGCTACAAAAGTTAGTCTGCTCCAACAGAAGAAGATTCACTTTATTAAATGCAACTTGAAACACAGGCTGTGCGGAAAGACAAAGACCCTAATTTCATGTTTATCTGGAAAACCTGTAGAGCAAGTTTGTTAAAGGAAAGACAGATATCCTTCAGACTGCATCAAATAAAAGCAGATGGAAATGTGGCTTTCTTTTCCATTTCTTCACCTACATTTTTATAAGTACTTGCAACTATGCTGTCTGCTGGCGACACTGCAAATTATTTGCATTGTACTTTAAGCTGTCTTGAGCGCATGCTAGAGGTTCTGGGAAGAACAGGATAAACCTCACCCAGATGCAGAAATCCCAAGGCTGGTGTCTGCGGGAGTCCAAGACCTTCAGCAGGGCTGCGGTGGGTGTGACCCCCAGCAGTGCCTTGAGCCTGCTCACACTGTCAAGGCAGAGCCACGCCAAGGGGCTCCGGCTTGAATCAAGCACTCAGCACCGTGTCTTTGTTTAGCTACTTTTTCCTCTGGAGGCACAGATTTCACTGTAGGGCCACAGATCACCCTAACCACTGGTGGAAACTCAAGAAAATTTTTCTGGGCATCCTAGGTATACCAACAAAGGGAGCCTTTGATCTATAAGTGTGAGTACTCTTCTGTGACCACTGACAGACATGGACAGTTTTCACTGCTCCGTTTACATTTCAGCTGTTCCCCTTTGATTTCCTAATGTGTAATTTAGTGCAATTTCTACAGGACAAAAAGCTTGAATATTGTAGTAAGTCATATAGTTTGCTTTATCATTTTCACTTCCACAGCTTTACCATGAACACCTACCTCTTCGTGTATGACTTAATGCAATTCTGTGGACATTCCTGGATATTTACAAATATGGTCATCAGGTTCATGTCATTTGGAAAAGGTAGGATTCCTTTTATATTTTTCTTAAATATTTTAAGAGGCAGTAGCACGCAGAAACATCAAATTAGAGATAAAGTTAGGATTCTGAATAGGTGTATGTCCAATACCAGAGGCTGTAATTTCAATTAGAAAAACATTGTTTCTTCCATTAAAAAGGATGAACAAATTACTGGTACCTATGTTCTGCCTGTATCACATCAGGAATGAAGCTCTTGTTTTACTAATGAGCTTTACTATTCAGCAACCTACTAGTAAGATTTGACTTAGACATAGACCTAAATGTGACTAGGTCCAGTCATTATGGTGAATATTAATCTTATGGAAGCCACTAGGAGAGAATATTTTTGTGGTTAATGCACATGACTCTCTATCTCCAAAAACATTGCAACGTATTTCTCTTTCTGTTGCATGGGGTTAAGGCACAAAAATAGAAAACTAGTGATTGGAAATCTAAAATGATTTATAATGGTGGACAGTTGTAGCCACATAAAATACCTACTTTATTGTCTCTGCTTGTTTTAGGAAGTGCCATGGGTACAGATACAGGCAGGAACTCAACATCTCCTCATGTTTAGACATTCCTCATACATGTCCTCAACATTTCCTCATATTTAGAAATATCCTAAAGCGGTATCTCTAAACCAACACATCCTCCACAGTGTTTGCCAGTGCAGCAAGTATAGGGGATCCCATTCTTTTCTCAGCTTCCTGCCTCTGTGTCAGAGCCACACACAGAGTGGACTGCCTCCTCCCCTCCCTGAACCTTTGCTTCTGCTCCCCAAAAGTTTGGTACTGTGTGAACTTTATTTCTTGTCATCTCCAGTGGTGATAGGGCAAAAGCAAACCCAGCAGTTGGCCCAGACTTTTACTACATAACGACCCTCTAATTTTCCTCCTCACTTTGCCTGTAGATTCGTTTGCCGACACGTTTTACTCCATAGGACTTGTAATGCGCCTTTGCCAGTTGTTATCGATATTGGAGATCCTACACATCCTCATTGGCATTGATAAAAGTCGTCTCTTCCCCAGGTTTTTGCAGGTAAGTCTGTTTCTCAAGACCCTCCTTCCACGACCTACACACTTCAGCCATGGCTGCCCCTGGGGACAAGCCCAGGCTGAACTACCTTGAATGGTGCACTGGTGCCCTTCTTCAGGGAGCTTGGTCTGTAGTAGCTTGCTAACTGCAGGAATTGAGCCCTCAGAACTTGGTTGGGAAAGAGCTGCTCTCTCAACATTTTTCTTTTTTGAGTGAAACTGAATAGAGAGTGCCCCACACCCAGCCCACAACAGGGACCTGGCAGATGTCCACCTACAGAAATGGGGCAGCCCCCATTTCTAGGCTGCCATAGGTGGCTGAAGATACTACCTCCCCAGCCAACTTGTTTACAGCCAGAAGACAACATTTCAGAGCCTACATTTCACTAGCTAATTCTTTTCCATGCCCTTTCCTCACTGACAAGTGCATATTTATTTTGTAGACAAGCACAAGACAAGATTTTGTGGGGTAGCAAAAGGATGGCAGTGAGAAAACTACCAGCACATCAAGCCTCCTGAAACAGGGTTTGCTGGTGGTCATGGAGTGTGGAAGGAAAAGAATTGATTAAGAAAGAGAAATTAAGGGACTGAAGAAGAATTAATGTTGTGAAGGGAAAGTGAGGAGAATTGTCATATTCTTGCTGTAAGGGCCT